ATATATGTATACGTGTATATATAGATAGATGAATACAAGAGAACAGGGAAAAACCTAGTGTAACATATAGGAAAAACCTAACAGATGATATATCATTGTCCGTAGAGAAAACCAATATATCATGTATTCATACGTATTGGAATAATCCACAATAATGATCATCGAGGTTGATCTTGATAACAAACAGTTAATTATGACGAGGAAAAGGTTTCCCCTTTTAACAATTTTTTCAAAAATTTCTCCTCGCTTCCCCGCGCACGATGCATGAGGAAGACTTTGCACCTCTGCCAAGACTGGATAGACCTTTGACTCGATCAGGTATCATTCTCATACTCAGTTTTTAATGCTGAATCGGAAAAAAATACTTTCGACAAGTTAGAAGAACAAAAAAGAAAATAATTTGAACTTTTTGAAACGGAAGGTTTTTTCGGAATTTGCGATCCTTCTAGTATTTGAAGACTTTTCATTCAAAAATCAATTTTCTAAAGCTAAAATGCCAAGGGGAAAACGACCTCTTAAAAGGGTACACACACTTCTAAGTGACAGTCACTTTAAGTGCCGCTTAACCACTTTAAGTGCCACTTAACCACTTTAAGTGTCACGTTTATTTTCCTGTTTGAACAAGATTTGAGCAGTAGTGATTGCTAATTTTTTCTCCTTATGGCAACAAAAAGTAAGATTTCGCTTTTTGTTCAAAAGTTACGTGGTATTGAATGCTTATGTTGCTTTATAAACAGAAGTCCAGCGGTGTATGAGATCTTTTTTCTAGTACACATTTTAATACACATGCACGTGTTAGCGTTATTAGACCGAGAGCTAATGCCTAACCAACAGTCCTTCTTGATAATGCCCTTATTCAACTTTAAACGTTCGATTTTGTTTCAACTATTTTATTCTAGTTGAGAGATTTTTTGAACTTTTTTCTTTTGTATTTATTAAATATATATTAAATAAATGTTCGGAATGGCTATTACCACTTACAGAAGTGTCAATAAGACGCTATTGCCACGTTCGAAAGTGCCACTAAGGAGCTAATGCCACTTTCTGAAAGTGTCAACTAGAAGCTATTGCCACTTCCTGATCTGGCAGCAAGGAGCTATTGCCACTTCCAATAGAAAGTGTCAATAAGAAGCTATTGCCACGTCCAATAGAAAGTGTCAATAAGAAGCTATTGCCACTTCCAATAGAAAGTGTCAATAAGGAGCTATTGCCACTTCCACTAGAAAGTGTCAATAAGAAGCTATTGCCACTTCCAATAGAAAGGGTCAATAAGGAGCTATTGCCACGTCCAATAGAAAGTGTCAATAAGAAGCTATTGCCACTTCCAATAGAAAGGGTCAATAAGGAGCTATTGCCACTTCCAATAGAAAGTGTCAATAAGAAACTAGTTCTAATTTGAGTCGAGTAGAAATCGTGTAATTGTTTGCTCTTGGAAAGTACAACTTGCATCGTGAAGAAATATAATCGTGAAATATTTGAAGAGTACAGAGAAGAAATATAAATGGTTGAAATGACAGAGAAGACAGACAAGTTTATATAGACGTTAGTCAGGATCAGTGGCAAAGTAAACAATGTAAACAATAGTATTGTGAAAATTTAGAGAGTGACTACTTAAAATATGTTATATGTATAAACGGAGAAAATATAACGGACTGAAAAAGATTGAAATAACAAAGTTAAAATGAATTTGAAAACAGCTTTGATACTTTTATATTTATACCGATTCTAGACTGATATTCGTTTCAGTTCATAGTTTTTTTATATCAAAATGTATCAAGCAATGGAGCCATATTCATATTTGCAGTACCAACAGTTGTATGGAAAAGATGATGAGATTGCCAGTCCTTTGGAAAGATATGTGTCATTTGATTCTAATACGTCTCTGATAGCCACGTACACAACAACATTACGCCTACAAGAAAAGAATGTGAAAGAGCTAAGACATCATTTATTTGAATTTCAAGATAGTTTAGTGAGTGCTAAAGTTATAAATTGGTGTAATAAAATTAAACCGTTGTATTCACTGAAGACAACAGGTGAGTACTGGCTCCTTAAACGGAATTCTGTCGTTTGTTAGCCACTCGCAGATTCTAATGCCATTAACATTTCTGTTTTGAGGGAAAGGAAATTGTTTATTAAATGCCTCTTTAATGGCAAGGATTGGCATACAAGACATAAAATTTACACTTCATAATCATCTTTCATCTTACATGAAATCAAATGAAGCAGCACTTCATGACCGTTGGAAATATAATAGAATAGCAAGCGACCAAAAGCTCAACTTACACCTTGAAACAGAGGAACACATTCTTGAACAAGTAAGACACATTAAGAGGAATAAGAAATTTTTTTCCACTTTTTGGCAGCTGCTTTTATCTGCTCAGCAGTTAACTTCTTAATTGGAATACTGTTAAAAACCACATGTTTGTAGTGCTACCGTTCATGTTTTCTCTACTGTAAACAAAGACCATGCTTTTTACCAGTACGATATGAAGGGCCCTGTGTATTTTAGGAGTGGAACAAAATTATTGAGGAAATTCAAGCCGTTGCTGATCAGTCGTGTGTTTTTTTACAATCATGTCATATTTTCGGACTAGCAATTATGCTCAGACGTCCGGTTATTATTCTTGGACTGGAATATATAAACACAGTTAACGAACAACAAGCGCAATTGAATGATTTAGTTGGTATATATCTTCCGCTGCTAACAACAACAAAAAACACTCACCATCATCCAATCGTTCTATCATATTGTCATAACCATTTCACACCTCTCGTTATATCTGAAAATGAATCGCTATCGTCTTTAAAATCCGCTGTGTCATCAGCAGCTCGACCATTACTACCTTTGTCCTTTTGGTCTTGTTCCAATGAAAGTACTGGGTCGGTTCTTGTTAATTTACCAGTGCATTATACTAATTACCTAGAAGAATTAAATATAATTAATTTATTAAAAAAACACCTTAATATCGAAGATATCATTACGGATGAAGGACTATTAGTTCGGTGTTGTTCATTGAGTGAAGAACGTTTACCAGAGGATATGAACTTATTAGATAAATACGTGGATTATCTTCAAGAAAATATGCAGCCTGAATCTCCAGAAGTTGATTCATCGAAGCCAGATGATTTGGTATATAAAAGCTATTCTAGTTTTTACAGGCTAGTGACCGATGCAAAACCTTTTGAGTCTGTTAGAGTACTTTCAGGCAGGCAGTTACCTTTTTCCGTTGATGGCACTGTCGACGCTTCGCTAAAACCCTTGACAACGGTGCATGGGCACAATTGATTTCGTTATTGTTCGTTTTTATTATTTGTGTTGCAGGATGTTGCACTTGATGGTGTTCTCGATGGTTGTTCATTTAAACTCGGTGATGTTTTTAAAACGTTTATGGATTTTAAACAAAAATTAGACGATTACTCAAAAGAAACAGGTGCTATGTTCAGAACAAAAGATTCGCTGAAGCTCAAAGAAGCGTCCGATTTAGTTTACAAAAGAATTGATTTTCAATGCTGTCACGGTGGTAAAATTCGATCACGTAGCGCTGGCATTCGTCCTCAACAGCATCACATGGCTCTCAACTGTCAGGCTAAAATTCGCTTGTATAACACTGGCGAACAGTTAAAAATCACGATAACTGATTTGAAACACAATCACAAAGTAGATCAAGCTAATATGAAATTTTATGCTCGCAATAGACGTCTAGATGATTCAGCTATTGAATTAATCAAAAATTATGATCAGCATAAAGTACCGAGAAGTATTATAAGAAATCTTATTATGGATGAAAAAAATATAAAATTTAACACTGTTAAAGATATTGCAAATGTTTTAAACAAGACAACATCGAACAATAGTCCATCACAAAACACAGCGGTTCGTGACTTATTGAATGAAATAAAACTAGCAGATCCAACGGCGACAGTTGAAGTTAACGTATCAGAACGAACGAATGCTCTCGAAATGATTTTTATTGCGTCAAAAAAACAATGAAAGAAAATTTTCAAAAATATGGACAAGTGATTTTTTTCGATGCAACTTACAAGCTAAATTTGGAAAATTTCTGTTCATATGTTTTTCTAATTCAGGACAGTCGTGGAACCGGTTAGTACCTTTTATGCGAGGAAGGCGTTAACCACAATATTGAGAAAAGCCACTAAACGATAAAAATATGATCCTTTTATTGCATAAAAAATGAGTTCTGGTGGAGAAAATTGAATTACGGGCAGAATTCCAATTTTTTCGCTCCTGATTTAGCAAAAGTAAAATTTATCAGTAACCGAGAGAAATTTCAANCATATGTTTTTCTAATTCAGGACAGTCGTGGAACCGGTTAGTACCTTTTATGCGAGGAAGGCGTTAACCACAATATTGAGAAAAGCCACTAAACGATAAAAATATGATCCTTTTATTGCATAAAAAATGAGTTCTGGTGGAGAAAATTGAATTACGGGCAGAATTCCAATTTTTTCGCTCCTGATTTAGCAAAAGTAAAATTTATCAGTAACCGAGAGAAATTTCAAAAAAACCGAGTTATATTTTTGCAGTAAGGATAAAGGCCGATCGAATGGCGCAAGAATGAAGGTTCCAGCTTTATCAAAAAAAATGGATAGCTTTTTGCGACGAGGTCTCCGCGAAAAGGAGAAAAATTCAACGTTTTCCGTATTTTAAGACCTCCCATATTTTCAATATTTTGGCGCTAAAAAGTGCGCTGGAAAGAGCATTCACTTTAACACATTTTGCGGTTTCTTTATTTTTCGTAGGTCAACCAGCTGGTATTGGCTTTTTGGCGAATGAATCGCAAGAAAACATACGAGAGTTGCTTTTAAAATTTAAAACAACATATGATAATCATGATATTATCCAGACATTTTTTATCGATAAAGATTTTAACGAACTATCGATGATACGAGAAGTTTTCCCCTTATCAACCGCACTACTTTGTTATTTTCATGTTATCAAAAAACTCAAAGAACACATCGCTAAATTAGCTATCAGTATTGAACGTAAACGGGAAATTCTTAAATTATCGAAAAATATTATTTATTCAGATAATGTAACTGTATTCGCTGTCAATGTTTATATGCTAGAAACTGCTTCGTCGATGACCGAATATTGGCCTTATTTTCATGAGAACTGGCTATCTTGTACCGACCTCTGGGTTTTCTATAAACGTAAACAAAATTTGACTTATATGAATAACACAAATAACAGAATAGAAAGTTTTTATAGAACTGTTAAACGTAAATTTCACGAGAGATCCAAAATTCCACATATTGCCGAAGCATTAACAATATTAATGTCACTGTTACGATTTAAGTCAATTGTACAAAATTATAACATTGTTCGGCAAGAGTTAACGTCGTTTTGTATTGCCAATTCAAAGTATCCCGAATTTATTGAGCAATGTGGAAGAATACTGAGCGGTGAGCAATATCTATCGATAATGCTACTTTCTAATTCTGTTGTCCCAAAGTTCCATTAGTCTGTTAGTCTATTTTTTCCATTAGTCTATTAGAAGGTGTTTTATTTTCGTATATAGATTTCGCCTGCAAGTTTGTCAATAATCAGTTGATCTTGATGGATAAAGCAAAATTAGAAATTTCTTCTGCCGATTTGCTTGATGAAGAAGATGAAAACATAATATTGATCCAGAATTTATCAACAAATAAAACGTATAAAATTAACAAATCGCTTTGTATTTGCTCTTGTTATTATAATTGCACTATGTCTTTACCGTGTCTTCATCTCTTATTCTATATGAAACATATTGATCAGTTAAAGGTTGATGATACGTTGATAGCTTCAAGATGGTTGCGGCATTCAACTGTCAGCAACATTTCATTCGATCCTATTCAACAAATGAACAGCACAACAAGAACAAACAAAAGTGATGCTGATGATGGTACTTGGTCAGATAATCAGTCAGACTTCGATAATGATGAAAAATCATCGATGGCTCAATGTGAAACTGGTATTGTTCTGACAGTGGCAGATAAAAATCGATTATCTTGGAATCAATTCCATGTAATAAATAATTATTTAACTCAATTAGGTACACCTGAATTTTACGAACGCCTCAACGAGTTAAAGAAATTACACAGTTCATGGAGCAAGAAGCAACGGTATGTATAGTAGGAGCTTGCACGCTTAGAATACTGCCACCCGCAGAAAGGGCTTCGGTCATACTGATCATGAATATATTAATAATAATTCAGAGAACGGATTTTTAGTTATGCGTAAGCGTCTTCAAATCGTTCCCATGTTTAAATCAAAAAAGAAAGAAAATACCAGATCTTAGGTCTTACACCGATTATCATTTATTAAAACATTTTCCTGAGGATCCTCCTTAAGGAGAGAAGAAGCGTCTTTGGCACAAACTGAAGACTAATTTGATATAATTCTCGTTTCCTTTCAAGGCTAAAACAAGAGTCACAAACGCAAACTTCGCCTTCAAGAAGCTCACCAAAAGCTAATTTTGCGGATGCGGTACCAAAAACTTTATTTACCATTCAACGTACCGTTCATCCTCGAGGTAGACCAAAAAAAACGAGCAGACACACTCAGTTTTATAGAAAAAACGTTAATGATCGTAAAACGAAAACAACAACGCCGACTACAGCAAAAGCATCACTTGAACTTTTGCAACAACTTCATCTAACAACAACCGCTGAAGCAGCAGCGGCAACTGTTTTCACATTA